TTATATGTCCTGAAGACCTTTGCAGTCAGACCAGGCATTAAAGAGCTCAGATGTTTATTCAAAAGGGTTGTCTGCAATGACAAAAGGACAGGAGATGCACAGAAAAAAGAAGTTATCACACCATTAGCCAACCATGCTCTTAACCACCGGGTGGCACTGTGGTTATACGTTTGTTTAGTGTTGAGATTTTAGCAAATAAACGTAAAATACCATTTTATGCCTTTATTATGAGCCAGTAGAGCAGGGAGATTAAAACAGGTCATTGTACCATTTCCCATCTGTCATTTCTGCAGGTGTTACAACAAGTGAGAGTTGTCACAGCTTAGATGAACTTTACTTGTCCTAAAATGACAGCAGTTCGAAGAGACCACCACAGATGAATAAGAACTAACAGTGTAGAGCTACACGGGGTCTAGAGGGAAATGAAAGCAAGAAAAATAACTTCATACTTATTGATATGTGGTGAAAACTGGTGGAGTTGAACAAGCAGGCAAAGGTTTAGTCTAGTTCATTTATAGAGTGCCAAATCACAATGCACAGTGCAGAAAACCTAAACAAGCTGATAATCAAGTTTGGTTCTTATTAAATAAAGTCAAATAAATTCTAAATCAAATGAAACCCAACCAAATAAAATCCATGTGTGTTTTGGTTATGGATGTCAAGGGAGGAGAAAAGATTTGGCTCAAGAGCTCAAAAAATATTTGGGATAAAACTAGAGCGACTTTGAGGCTACTTTAATAAAAGCAATGAGAGAATTTTAGAGACCACTGACTCAATGTGTCTTACCGAAGGAGCCCATTAAAAACAAAACAAGTGTATTTTCATGTATGCACACTATACAAGTGCATCCATGCACCGGTGACCACACAGGTACAAGTTTGCTGCTGTGCATGTCCTGCTAATGAGCCCCAACTCTGTCCCAGCAATACTAATGAGAGTCTGCCAGTATGAAGGCATGTATAGTTAGTCCTTACACCTTTAACTCCCCTGGAACAGTGTTGTGTGCACACTGTCTTCACACAAGTGCTTGTATGGGTCATCCATGTCATCCAACTAAAGCATTACTACAATATGTGATTACAACTTTTGCAATTCCTTATCTACAAAACAGGATGCAACACGACTGACTCTCTCATTACCACACTGTAGGTGAATTTGTGGCCATGTAACAAATTCCTGGGAGAAATATTGACTGCTCCTATTCACAACCTCCTAATATGATCTTCAGTATTCTCTCTATTAGACCCCAATGGAACAAAATATTGAAAATATTACAAAGTGGAGAGAAAATAATAATTAAAAAAAGAGCAAACAGCAGATGGTGACTAAAATGCACTAAGGTAGTGATATGGCTACAGTTGTAGTTAAGGAATGTGTCAGAGGTTATAGTCAACAGCTCACATAGAGGCTGTCAGAAGATGCTTGAAGAGAAATCTGATAAACTGCATTTTCAGTTTGAATGATTTCAACAAGACTGTTTGTGCATCTTCTGTATTTCATGACAAAGCATTTCACAACCTTCAAAACACATTATTTCTTTGTTTGGAATGCTGCTCAGTAAACCATTCAGTACTCAAAGGTCTTATTAAGTAATAAGGGGTGCACCGATTGCAGTTTTCTGACTGATCACCGATTTCTAAAAAGTCTGAAGTGCCGATTCCGATTTTGGCCGATACCAATATTGTTTTTTAAGCGACTCTGTCAGGTGTTATAAGGTCACAATGCACCATCGATTTTCCAATCTTATTTTATTGAAAAACATACCCTTGAACAATATCCTAGAAACAATACCAAACTGGTTTTAATTGGCCATGAAGTAGTGCTCTGAAATATAAATGAAGTTCATAAAATTGTTGTTAAAACTAAAAAAAATAATAATAAAAATAATTGGCAAAATCGGTTTCTCATGTAAGCATCAGCCGATTTCCCAAAATTAAGGAAATCGGGGCCCTATTATTAACCAAGGCTCTTTCTACAAAATGAAAACTGCATTTCAGTTGAGTTTTGTGACAGAACACAGGCCCTGGTTTAAACACAAGCTATTTCACTTTGGTGAGACACGTAATATTCAATTTTAAAGTCTGAGATTCTTCTTTCTTTTTTAATTTTTAAATCATTTAATTTATTGTCAAATAACATATTGAATAATTCAGTCTTATATTATGCAACTGTTTTGTCCCATTCCTGATGACCAAAATTTGTAATTTTAAAGAGACTGATGAAAATCACTCACTTTCACAAAAAACATCTCTTTTAAACCAGCTAAAACAATGGAATAAAATTCCTTTTTTTTTTTTGTTGAAAAATCGTGCAACATTTGTGAAATTAGTGCCTCTTGAATAGTCTGTCAATAAATCACTAATTTTGAACAAGGGAACTGTTCTCGTGGTCTTAAAATGTTTTGAGGCCACGAGCCTCCGTCTCTCCCTCTTAAGGGTGCATTCACACTAGCCCTGTTTAGTCCGCTTTAATCGAACTCTAGCTCGTTTTCTTAGAAAGTCTGGTTCGTTTAGGGAGGTGTGAACGCGCCATCGAACTCTGTCATGGAACAAAAAGGCGAACTCTGGCCCGGGCTAAAACCTAGGTCTCGGTCCGGTAGAAGCGAACTCCAGCGCGGTTCGAGTACAGTGTGAATGTAAGCAGACCGGGCCCCACTCCGCAGGACAAACAAACACGCATTTCTCTGACCTTATATGGAGCCGTCAGCTGCCTTGAGGGGAAAAACAATATTCTCCAGGGTCTTCTGTCTCATCTTCTGCTCATGCTAAGTCCATTTTTGAAAAATGACAAAATATAACTCCTAAAACTGCTAAAACGTGATGCCACTTTGTTTTTATTTTTATTTACAGAAGAAGAAGAAGTAGAAGAAGACGTGTCTTCAGAGGTTTTTGTGTCGTTTCTTTCAGTAGTTCTTGGTGCAGCACCCCCACAGGCGAGCGGGGGAATAGGTTGGTTCAACAGGTTGACTCGACTGCACAGTGCAGTGTGAATGCAAACGCACCAGCTCAAATGTAAACAAAAGGTCATGAATATTGGTCCCGAACCGAACCGAGTCTACTGGACTATCTGGTGTGAAAACGACCTAATTCTCAGCAGTGTTGTAGACTGGAACAGGTGAGTGAAAGTGTGAGAAAATGAAGAGCGTGAGAGATGCAGATAAGAAACCAATTATCACGTCCTAATAGCAGCTTTTCTCCTCCAACCTCTTCCTCATTCTGCTTTTTCAGTATTCTGGCCTTTCCAGTTGTCAATCAGGCCAGCCATAAGAACTATAACCATTCCACCTCCAAGACACAAACATTCTTGACATACTGACATCACAATTAGAGCATCACATCAACGGCTCTGTTCCATCATCTCAAACTCACATTCTGAACCATTACAGCTTCCTTTTCCCATCAGTCTGAACAAACCAATGCATGATCGTCTCTCTGCAGTTTACTGCAACTCTTTGGTTAACACACTGCCCGAAGGAAATTCATTTGTTGAAAATGTTATCAACAACCCTGCCTCTCTTTAAAAGGGTTGGAAAAGAATGCAATGCAAACTGAATATTTGACCAAAGCACACCCGACTGTGAGTTCAGTAACTTGGTGGTCAGTGTTGTAGTCTTGTAACCCTGAGGCTGCGAGTTTGAACACAGGCTGCATCAGAGAAGGCATCCAGCATAAAACAATTGTTTATACATGCAACTCAGAAGTTTACTGCACAAGGGAGCAGCAAACAGAAAATAGACAAATTTCTACAACAATAAGCTACACTGAGCAGTTTAAAATGTTTTCTCAATGAGGACAACCAGTTTTCCTGGTTAGTTTCTAAAATAGACAAAGAAACGTGGCTTTATACAAGTTGTGAGCAGTCTAACCTGTGTGGCCTGGCTGCCTGCAACTGCTGAGAGGACGCTACATTTAATGTGTGGAAATTCATTTACCCAGAATGTTCAGTCTAAATTCTCTCTCACAGTTTCATATTTATCTGCCAGAGTCCACCTTCTGTCTCTTTTGAAACTCAGCTCTTGCTTTCAGTCTCTCTGCTTCTAATATCCTTCCTCTTCTCCCGTTACCACGCTTTAGCCCTTTCATCTATCCACACCAACGGCTCATCCTCATCCAATCTCATCTCTGGCACCTTGCAATTTAGTACCAGGTTTAAAAACCTAATTCTATTTTGCTTTCACCATCTTTTCTTTTACAATTTACTATTTACACATCTTAGAGAAGTTTCTCACATTTTGTACAAGGCAGTACCCAAGTTCAGGTTGTTTGCTACAAAAATTAAGCAATAATTCAAAACATTTTAAACAAGTTTCAGCAGGATATTTTGTAACCAGTTCATGTCTTTTAACAACAAAATTTAATACCAAATAAAATGTGACTTTTCAACAAAAGGTTTCCAAACCAAAAGTAGGAGAAATCACATCACAAAAAGCAGAAAATTAGACAGTGACACTCACATTCAGACGGTCGAAGAGATCATCTCCAGGTTCCTTGTTCTCCATGCAAAGTTTAAGATTTTTAAAAACCTTAAAAGACACAAACATGTTAGATAAAATGCCCAACTACAGTTTTAAATCTAATAAAACATTATTCACATTTAGAAATATTTAGTTTGTTTTTTTAGCCTAAACCTGTAATACTGTATGCTCTGATAAATTGATGATTGAAGGAATAGAAATAATTGAAAAGCTCTTATAACCATGAATACTATCAATTGTAAACATCGAAAACATTAAATGAACATATGCATTATAGCACACCTAAGGTATTTTGTTTGTGTGTGCATTTTGTCTGCCTTCAATTGTCCTTCACTCAGCAGTGGCAGAGAAATAAAATCGCCACTATTATATCTGACATTTCCAGTGGCTCTGAACTCCACAGATATCAGATGTTTGTTAAATTGTCAGATTAAACCAGCAGCATACACAAGACACTAATTAACAGCAACAAATGTGTTTCTTTATACAACTTAGAGGCAATAAATGGCAGATTTGTATGTCAACTCTGTTGTTGTGACCTAAACAAATAAAGAAGTAAAAATGTTCATTTTAAGATGAAACATGGGAATGAGCATCTGTTAAGTCTCAAAAACAAAAACATCCAAGTGAGTTGATCTTGAGGGTTTTGGTGAATGTGTTGAACAAGCAATGATTTAGAAATAAACTGGCTATACACAATATATTTTTATGCATCTACATTTGTCTCAACACTGACGATATTTGATAAAACTGTTCCATCTTTGTCAGATTGAGTAACAACTACTGTAAGTACTGGATTTTAAACAGAGACGCTCTGAGGCAATGATCAATAAGTATTCACTTGACAAATTCAAAGAGACACAGCACAATTACTTATTGACAGCTCATTATTCACCCTATTGTTACCTTCTTACTCAGGACTTTCTATTCACAAACGACGCATGAGACAAGTTATTGGCAGTCTGTTATGTGCGGTGTATGGTTCTGCCTTGATAATGATTTATGCATCTATTCCCAATAGCGTTCTCTAAATTGGGGAAAAATGTATTTATAGTTTACGTTGTAAAGTACATGCCCTATAACCGCGTGGGTAGGGCACAGGTTGCCAAGTATTTGACCTTTTGGGACAAGACGAGTTTAATTTATGAAGCTTTGTATTATGATCTATACATTTCCTGAGCAGTTTGATGTGTGAGGAGGTCCATTATTCTCTTGCACTTCAAGAAGTTCAGTCACCTTGGAAGCAGTGCATATCCTGCAACAATATTTAGGTTGTCATCCGAATAAGAGGCTTTCCTTTAGAAATATTTGAACTGTTAACTGGATTATCAGCGTTGTTTACCTGTCAATGGTTTTAATGTTATAGCTGATTGGCACAGACCCCTAGGATTAGTTTCAATAGTTTTGAACAGCTCAAGAGGTTAGAAATTCAAATTCCATTCTTTGATTCCTGCTCCGTTTTATTCCAAGTGACATTTAGCAGCAATCACACTGATTTGCCAGGGAATTGATGATGCTAAAATATGCAGGGACTAATTAATTCTAGCTAATGTGCTGCTTTTGAATGCACTCATTTGAATAATTATATGTTCTGCCAAGAAACAAAACACTTTGGATGTCAGGTGTTAACATTTCTTTCCCCATCTCTGGACTAGAATATAGCATGGACTGACACCAGAGGATGGGTTCGAAATTTACATACGCATACACACAGACCTAAACGTGACCACTGTTTTAGAGAGTATAGTTTAATAAACAAAAAATAAATAGATATATTCCGAACACACTCCGTTACTTTTATTTTAGCAGTGGTAAAAGTTGTTCAGTTTGACTTTTGTCAAAATTTAATAGGGAAAACTACAAAAATCCTCAACTTGACAGTCTTTTTCGTCCCAACCCTTTCCCCTTAATATATCAAATGAATTGATTTCATATAGAGCCACAAAACTAAGAGCCCTTCTATTTTTATTTTTTTTTACAAAACATTCTTGCAGAAAAACAAACGATTAAAAAAAAAAAAAAAGCTTGATTCCCAATTTGTTTTGCAATGATTTTCTTTTTTGATTTCCTGCAAACCTTTGTCCATTTAACTAGTAAAAAAAGTTAATGTGCCCTTATTACTTTTAAATATAGTTAATATAGTGACGTTCAGCTGTTTTACTTTGGTGGTCTTTCACAAACATTTTATTACTCCATCTTTCAGTGCAAGAAATTGGAGGCAGGACGTCTTCATAGAAAAATAAATAAAACTAAGTAGATATAGACCTCAGCAAAAGCCATTAACTTGTACTGTGAATTATAAAAAGTCTGACGCACCCACCAGGGAAGTTGTGAATAGGCTTTAACAGGCTTCCTGTCATTAGTCTTTTCAATGGAAAAACAACAAACCTTAAATAGTTTTCCAAGTGTCATCATGAGAAGAGCACGTGTCTCTAAATGGCATTAAAAAGGTGGAAAAATATAATAACCCTGAATGACTCATGTGACATTTGGAGTGCAGGTCAGAGACTATTGAAAGGTGGTTTTGACCGGCACTACAGGAAATGTAAGACTTTAAAGTTGTTGTTTTTTTTAAGCTTTTATCATAATTAGTAACTTCTACATTTATTTCTGCCTCTGTTGCAATTTGTTTAACACATTTGCTTTTCCAATAGTAAAAAAAAAATGCAATGGGAGACCAGTATTAAAAAAATTGAAACAAGCTCTTAGTGGTCAGTACTTTATATACCACTACATCGAAGACACTAGAACTATTAAAAATCACCAACAAAACAAATTTTCATCCCATTACAGACGTGCCTGGTTTTAAATATATAAACAATATTGTGTTGTTTCCAAAACATACTGATGAATTAACAGGTCATAGGAAACAAAACCACAAACAAAATTTGCATGCGTCATTTTACTTGGCCCTTAAAGTTGGTACTCTAGCCTTAAAACGTAGTAATCACGTCAGCCAAAACACCGCTTTAAAACTATGCTTTGTCTGATAAGCCAAAAAAGCATCATAACTTTCAAAAGTAACAAAACGTTTATACAGAAAAAAAAAAAAAAAAAACTATACTTAGATACTTAAACTGCCGTTGCAAAGAAACTCTGGGTTCAGTTTGATTTTGAAATCAGCTTTAAATAGTTCTAATAAACTGATCACTAAATCATCCCAGCCACAGGACTAACGTGCAACAGGTTCACCGAGGATCTTCAAACATCCTGTTGGGGTGACGGGGAGACTCTGAAACGTAGTGAAAATGGCTCCAATCAAGATCTTACTTTCAGGTCTCAGGTCTAATCAGGTCTAATCAGGTCTCTGTTGTAAATGAGTCCTGAGGCTCAATGGGATTTACCTGTCTAAATAAAGGTTGAATGAAAACTTTCCTCTCTAATAAGTGATGCAGCAGAATGCATCAGCATTGTAAGACACACCCCTTTTCATGGGCTGTGCTGCTATATGATGGGATGGATTAAATTAGAAGCAGCTTCTGTTAGTTTTATTTCTCTATTTACAACTTTAAACTTTGCCAAATTTTTAACTATTTCTAATAATAATAATAAAATAATCTTGGATTTTAACTGTATTTAATTATGCCATAATTATTTCATCTGCTGGTATTTTATCTTTGTGCATGTTATAATTTTAATCCATATGTGAATGTAATTGATATAACATGCATTAACCAATTCATTGTTATAGTTGTGTTTATCTCTTGACTCATACAATGGTTGCACTTTATAGCTCTCCCATTGATTTATGTTGTGTTATGTTGGTGCTTATTCTGGCTGGAAAACTATTTTTTCTTACTGTAGACTGTTGGAAACTGGAATGGCAGTAAAAAGAATGCTGTGGGCTTTATGGTTAATTTAGAAACAAGTGACATTTCTCTGCAGGGACTCTGCCTTACTCATATTTTCTGTATCACAATAAGTTACAAACTTTGTTTATGGCTTGCCGTGGGAAAAGTTCACATTTTTTGTCTCAGACTATATTAGAAAATTAGCACAAAAAAAAAAAGTTATTTCAAAATAAAGTGTTCAGACCAAACGGCAAGAAAAATATGGATGTGATGGTACTTTGAACATCTCTTCAACAGTTACCTGCTTGATGACTGGAACCTTGTTGTAGTAGCGAATGGAGTCTTTACCCAGGAAGTCAAATTCCACTACAAACTCTTTCCCATCCAACTGCTCGTGTAAGGTGATGTGCTCAAACCGAAGAGAGCAGCAACCGACTGTGTCCGCAGTCTCGCCCTCCTCTTTTTCATTACCAGCTCTCAGTGCCAGCTTTTGTTTTAAGGATCAAAAAAAGATAAAGATTGTATTATCACACATACCAAAACCAGAAATACTCTCACAAACAGACATTGGGTGAGCTAAATAACCTTTACATAAATCCATATTTGCACAGGAAAACTGCACAGAACCAAACCAAGTTGTAGGTTTTCTGACATGAACTTAAAATGACTATATAGTCTATCATCAATTATTTAAATGTAAGCAAAATGTGATTGTATTTTGTGTCGTGAATTAAAAGTCAGACCTTGTCTATGAAGTACAGGGCCACAGCTCTTTGACGTGTCACCATCTGTTTAGACTTGAGATCCTGGAGGTACTGGTTCCGAATGTCTTCCACACATGACTTAAGTTTACGAGCAACCTCGTACTTCTCCCAATCCTTTTCTCCCTGTAATTTTAGGATGACAAGAAAAGTTGTAATAATAAACAAGAGACTAGACAGAAGGAGGGAAAAAAAAAAAGGCATGAAACAAACAATTGACTCCGATGATGAAAAACAATTTGTTTCTGATAAGCCTGAAATCAAAACATTCTATATGGTAATCATAAAGTGAATGAAGGGTGAAACACGTGGACACACAACTTTAATAACAAAATTCTCATTATCTTTTGTTTGCTACTGGTTATTGAGTTCAACCAAGATACAATTAAACCCACCATCAGTCAAGACACTCATTTAGCCATGGAGGAGATTAACAGCAGAATAAGAGCCTTTCCTTATGAAAGATCAATCAAAAAGGAGGGAGAAAATGAAGATAATCAAAATAAAATTAAAAATGTTGCATATGTTTAATAGCAGATACTGTCCACAGTAGCAACAGTGTATTATTCCACCCAAAGAAACATTTAGTCATTAGCAATTCACTAAAAATGGCTCTATATTTGATTTGTTTTTTAGCATGTTTCTCTCATCCAAATAGCTGTAAAAATGAACTTTGACTATAAAAGAAAGGAGACAGGAAGGAACATAAGCATTTGTTATTGTCAAACGCAAGATGATTAAAATGTTTCGTATTGTTTTAAGGCATCCATCGTTTCGACAAAACATAAAAAGCCTGAGGCATTGACTCAGCCACTCAACACCCTCCATGAGTTTTGTTAGACTGGAAATGTCCACCAGTAAAAGTATTTTTCAAGTGCTTCTTTAAAGAGAAGTTATTTTGTTCTTACACATTTCACTAAAATGCATTTCACCTGTGAAGTAGTGGTGCTATATACGCAGAAAAGGACTGAATAAAACTAAATTCCCAGGAAACAATCTGACAACTAAAGCAGAGGTTAGGTGATGCAGCAGAAATGCACTTGAAAGGAAATTAAACCGTTGGCAGGTCCAGTCAGCACCCACGCTTAAAAAAAATAATAAAGTGCTGTGGCCTCGAGAAAAGCTGGAGCTAAACCACTTCTGTGAAGAAAAGTCTAAATTCCACAAATATAGTAATTTAACTGAAGAAAAAGTTAATTAACCATGAAAATTTTAGGTATTTTTTTAAAGTGTTTCAAATGTTTTCTTCAGTTTTAAAGAGAAAATATTTTTCAAATTCAAATCCAGGTTTAGGATAGCCACTAAACTTTAAGTATGGTCTTGTGGCTATAAATCTCTATCCTAAAAACTACAAGGCAGTTTATTATTCCTTATCGTTTTTCCTTGGTGTAAGAGCTTGCCTGGTTGTAAATTTTGTACTTTTTTTTTTTACTAATAAAACTTTGTGCATTATCCCATTTGAAGAAGGCTACCTTGAGTTTAGAGTTAGCATTAAGCATGATGTATTTAATGGAGCCCTGGATATTTTCTGTCCAGCTAGCCAGCCACGTCACGGTGTTGTCACATCGAACTTCCTTCCAGTGGTGACCAGCAGGCGGGACGGGGATCCGGGATTTGCTGCCAGAAAGAGACAATATGTTATAAAATATATCAGTGGTTCATGAGTTAGGGGCATGTTCTCCCAGGTTCTGCAGTGCCACTGCAGGAGCCTGGATAATTGGGGAGGAAAAATGGACTGAAGCCGCTTTGAGAGAATGTAATTTATTCAGGGAAAATAATATACATTTATTATTCCACAATTATTTAAATAAAACTTTACTCTGATTTCTTGGCTAGAGGTTATGCTCATCTTTATTAAAGAAAACACAATTAAAGTTTTTAACCACATTTCTCTTTTGATTGGAGTATAAAAAGCTGACAGACATCTCAACAATCATACCCCTGCTGTTTGTAGTCAATGCATTTGAATACAGATGTAATTTAATCCCACCAGGTAAAAATGAATGATGAACTTGAATGAATGTTTGAAGTAAATACTTTGATCAGGAAGACAATTGCCACTTAAACTGAAAAAGTAGCAACTCTTTTCCCCAAAGGTTTGTTTTTCATATTAAAAAAAGGCACATGATGGATTTGTTCTCAAATTTGAAACAACTCGTGGACAAAGCTGAGACAAATCTGTTCGTTAAAGTTCATTTATAAAATTTCTCCTCTTACCTTTGAATTATTTGCCCTCACATTTTAAAAGAGCTTTAATGTTCAATTCAACTATAACAAATATGCAAGGCCCATTAAAAATGTTTTACCTGTCAAAATTAGGCACAGTCATTATGATGAGTCCATCTCTGTTTATATATTGTTGTAAAACATTAACAACAATCTGAGGAAAAACTGTCTTTGCTTTGAGTCATTAAAATAAAAAATGTAAAGGCTGCTGATCACAAAGCTTAAGTGCTGACAGAAGTTGTTGGGTTTTTTTGCACATCTGTACTGTACACCCAAATAGATTAAAACCTGATTTAAAATTCCAGATATTTTTTATTTACTTAGAAGAAAGTAAAGGAGGTGCATTGGGGTTGTAAAAATGACAGAATGCCAGAAAAATGAGAACTACTGCAGGGCACACTATTGTTTTGCAGTTTGTGCCATTTTCTCCAATCAATCACACCAAGAGTAAAATTATTAAGAGAAAAGAAAAGCAGTCTCTCTTGTCCTACATTTTAAACTGATGTGAATAAATAAACAAGAAAATGCAGTTTCATAAGTACAAATTCTCAAAATTCAAGTTGCCAAAAATACAGAACTAAATGTTCTGTTTTATGGGCACAGAACTGTCTGAAAGGAACAGAACTTATTTCAATAGGAAGAACAATTTCTGCACAAACATGCAGCAGTTCCAACTCCTCTCTTCTCCACCATGATGTGCTGCCTCGTTACAACCGTGACCAATGAGTTTCTAAAAACACACAACATTTAACATACACTCTTGATTATCACCAATACATGTGTAGCTGTTGGTGCTAGATAATGATCTAGCTTATAGATCGTTATTACCCTACTCTTCACATGCATTTAAACAAAGTGAATCGGGGCTATGTTTTGTTTTTGCTAATTTAATTGAATTCTTCCTACTCACTTGCTACAGTTGATGATGACATCTTCAGGTTGGATCCTTTTTTTCAGCATTCCTTGCTTGGGATGTTCGCCTCTTCCTCTGAACAGACCCGGAGGCTCAATCTTAAAATTTCCTATTCTTTCTTTGTGGTGATCCAGCAAACAGTAGCCATGTTCGTCCACTATCTTCTGATTGGCTTCCTTCAAAGCCTTCAACAAATATTAAAAAGTACACATTATCAGTCACAAAAGTACACTCTTCAAAACACACAGATTATAGAAGGAATAGAAAAACTGAGCTTTACCAGTTTCTCCTCTTTGCTCATGTTTTTCCTAGCCTCCACTTTGGCTTTATGCATGGAGTGAATTTCTTTAAAGTCACACTTTTCAAGATCTTGAATCAGGGACCTCTCCTCAGGGGTCATTTCCTAAATAGGCAAACAAAAGAAAGGCTAATATTTTGAAGGTTAAATTCGAACCCCTCCAAAATTCGGCTACACTCAACTTTAAAGTTACTAATTAAAATAAAATAACTATACTTAAATAATGCATGAAATTCAACACATGGGAGTTCAATAACAGCTGTACTTTCTATGATATTGTACTCCAAAGCCTTTCTGCACAGGCTTTACTTTTCACAACTGGTGATCTTTTATATGCAGTCAGTGGTGGAGAGCGCTAGTGCCAAATCTGCTTAAAGTTTTTACACAGCAGTGCACAGAGAGCAGCAGCACAACAGTTGAGTTTAGCTCTAATTGTCCATTGTTTTGAGGCTACTGCACACCAGGTCAGATCAAAGTGGTCACTATCAGGACATCAATACAGAGGAACTCAATGGCAGCTTATCTCTGGAGGGTCATAGAGCTAAAATATCACATAGCCCTTTGCTATCTGAAGGGAACACAAAAAGCACTGCTGTATAACTACAGGTAAGAAATACTGTGGCTGTAGTAAAGAAAGTGTTTAACTCAAATTGTTTAAATTATATTGGTCTTGAGAAGCAATTCATAATGTAATTAATTCATTGAGTGAATGCATTTTGCTCACCATCTTTCACGCTAGTGTTTTGGATCAGCTTGTGTGAAATATGAAGTTACAGCTAGCTAAACCATGAAAATAACATCATGAGCATCCTCACTATAATATCTACATGATCGATTAAAGCTTTGAGTATTTGTAAAGTTTCGTTCAATATCAGTAAAATCTACTGAGTTATAGCAATTTTGATTGACAAAGTGACTTGGCTGTTGTGGCCATCTTAAATACAGCCGACTCCAAAATGTATTCAGTTGTTGATATAAAGTCATCATTGGATGTTGACACTTGTGAATGCATTGTAGATGATGTCACATTCTCTACCAAGTACAAATGTAGGATTAAAATCAGTTCACTGGTTCTTGAGATATTTTGCTAACACTACAGTCAAATGAACACAAATGCACACAGACAAGAAAAAAAGAAGCAATACTGCCTCTCATTTTTGGCAGTGAGTGTTAACAATAGGGCTAATGAAGGAGCTGATCTTACAATCTCCACTTGCTACATGAGTGCTGAGCCACTACAACTGGACATCATAAACACAAACAACATAAGACTTTAAATGGATACACTGTTGAAAAACTAAAGGGCGTCCAATTTGAATGTCATTATTAAAGAAAAAAAATAAAGCTCCTATTATTCAGACTGTTCAGATAAATGTTGATGTACTAGGTTTTGTTATCTTTGCTCATTAAAAGAAGCTGAGAAAACAAAGGTATGAACAAGCTCACAAACACGCACACACCTCTGTAAAAATGAAAACAGTGTGGACATGCAGCCAGTCAGTCAGCGTGCCTAAACTTGAATGACAGCAGACGGTGGGCGGGCACTGAGGGCAGTGAAGCGAGGAGGGGTTTTTTCCGGCTATAATAAAACAGTATAATTGGATTTGTTCATATGCAGGGAAGCTAGTTGTCTGGATTAGCATATCAATGCTTTCACATAAATCATATTTTCAAGAGCAATGAGCACTAAGCAGCGCAAAATTAATTCTGCATGACGCTTGGCACCATGTTTCCTCTATACACGGGACATCCTGACAGACACCAATGAGCATGTCACAATCATACACCCATCCTGTATTTACACATACATACCTTTCTTTTAGCAACACAAACGGTCAAGATATGGACAAGCCATACTTGAAGGTTTCATGAATAAATGGTTTCTGGAGAAGTTATCCATCAATCAGATATCCTTGCTTATCATTCTGAGAGTGGTTTGGAGTGTATTACCACTTTGTTTCAGAGCCACCAGACACTAAATAATTCACACATTCATTCTTGTCGGTTAAGTTATACATTTGGGATTATTATTATATTTTTTTTTTACCTTCCTCCAGTCTTTAAAGAAGTTCTCCCGAAACACTTTCTTTGTCGTGTACTCGTGGTCCAGCATCTGGGCAAAGAAAACCGCCACTTCTTCTGCTGCCAGACTCAGCTTCACCTTCTTACCTAAACAAAAAAACAGCAGTTTGCTATTTTATGCTTTTTTTTTTCCACCCAACAAAAATGCACTTAACTGCATAAGCTTTGTAAATTCTTTCTGCCCTTATTGTCATATCCTACGCTTATCAAGATGTCTCATTGTCAATCCAACATAAGCCTTTAGAAGCTCACGGGTTTGATGAAAATCCAACATGCAACCCCACCGACTCCAGAGAGGTGCCCGACTAATCCATGTATTTGTAGAGGTTAGTTCAAAGACAAGGACGGATATCTACATTCAAGCCCACTGCTACCAATGAGCTACACAAACAAGAGCACACACGCACAGGAATTAACAGATCAAACCAACTCCCATTAGACAGCACTGTGGGAAGACTGCTAAACAAGCAAAAACAATCACAGTCATCCATCAGTGTTTCACCCAATACATGTCTGGAATCCTAAAGATCCAACGGGGTGTGTGTGTGTGTGTGTAAGTCAGAGTCAGTCAAGATGAGTCTTAGCATCATAAAGTTGATCTATAAATAACTTCATTGTTTCAAAATGTTGCTGTTTTTTCTAAATAATCTACAAGATGATTTTAAATGCGTTTAAACAACAAATAAAAATGAAAAAATTCCAACATTTTACTCAACTCGTAAACTAACAGGACTGTGTGCCTCTGCAAATCAACCAAAAAATATATAACTAATTTAGAAGTTATTTTTATTGCACCTATTAACTCAAGATTGACTGAAATGTAGACTTTTATAGCATTAAGTCTAAATTAACATTTTGCATTGCACTAAATGAACTATGTGCAGTTCTTTCAGACCATTTTAAAAAGTCAATTCCTCCAAACACCTGGCTCAAGAAATCAAAATAAAATTAATCTGCAGTGCAACCAAATGATGCACATCCACACACACTCACTCTAAATGTCACTCATACATGGAAAATACTAAGAGTGGAAAGCCTCTTACTCATCACAAAAGGCTGAGTGAAGTTCAGCAAATCAAGTTTTTAATATTCTAGTTATAACTTGGCTGTTAAAAAGGGTGAATTTTCCACAAAATGTCATTTTGTCCACTTTACTTTTATTGTTATTTTATTAAACTTTTGTGAAGATGCAGTCCAGGTCACATTAATTATCGTCTGAGATACTATAAAGACTAGTCTTGAAGAAATACATTATAAAGAAAAAAAAATAATGCTGTATCCTCTGAATATCATGAGACCCATTCTAGGCAAACTAAACAAACTTGGCCCTCACCCCTGGTTGTTAAAAGTCCAACGAATGGTCCCTTTAAAAAATATTGTAAACAGGTACGTGGCAGATAATACTCAAGAATTTGACGAAGTGACATGTCTCCTGTTCCTGAACCAAAGCTGAGTATTTTACAGTAGTGAGAGTGAATCTCTTTTGGTGTAGCAAATGAAGAAAAAGACTTGGAAAAACATCTGGACCTAATCCTGCACTGTCCAGATTTGTGTCAAAACTACTTTTAAATGTGCTTCTGGTTGCATCATTTCAACCAATGTTCATTTATAAACCAACTCATATGTGGCTCAGGGTTGACGTAGTGTTTTTAAGAATTAAAAAAAGTTATGATGAAGGATAATAAGGGGGCTGTGATGTCTTCAGCAAATACAACTGGAATCAGACTGGCATTGATAAAGATATTACATGCTAGATGTATTCTGTAAAGTATGCATGAATTGTTAATAATTATAATTGCAGTAGTCCCTCGCTACTTCGCGGTTCATTTTCCGTGGACTCGCTCTATCGCAGTTTTTCAAAGTTAAGATTGGACATGACATACGATTGATGGATAAGCCGCACGGTCAGCATGGAATTTTTATTTACCGGTAAAATAAAATAATTTAGCACCTGCAGCACCTGTGTGCAGCCCACAGCTGTAGAAAAACCCTCTTCCTCAATTGTGTGCAGCCAACAGCTGAAGGCAAAGCTCCCTCCTGCAGAGTGTCATATCTCCACTCTGCAGAGGAGAAGTGGGCGTGGCCAAGAGTGCTGGCAGAGAGCAGCCTGAGGCAGAGAGCTGAAATCATCTGTGTTCTTTTAGAGCGTTTAGTTTAGAAACATTGTTTAGAATATTGCAAAAGTGTGGGAAAGGTTTAAAATGCCATATATACTGATACTGACACTATCTTGTAGTACTATTCCTACTTCACAGCTTTTCCTAAACATAAAAATGAGGGACTACTATAAATTATTTGGTTTCCACCATACCAATATAACTTAACATAAGGACAATAAAAAAAAAGCAGTGGTAGAAGAACAAACTATAAAACTTTTTTCAACATTGTTATAACCCACTCCACCAAACTGACCATTATAGTAAAAGTTTATATTGTCAGGAAATGGCTGGTACTCAGGGGGGAAGTAGGGTCCATTGTGTTCCAAGAACTTCCATTTCACTCCGTCTTCATACTTCTCTTCCTCCCACCTGACAAAAAAAAAAGCACCATGATGAGACAAAAATGAGTGAGGCATGTCAGTGCAGGAAGAAAAGGGGCAGTGATTCTCCACCATCTCCAGCGATTCTGTTCCTCCTCTTCCTTCTTTTTGATCTTCAGCTGTTTTGCTTCCTCAATCTCCTCCTTTGTCCTCTTTGCTTTTTTTGAGACCGGATGCTCTCCTTCCTCTTTCTTTACCATCTGCGCAGAGATAAACACTTAAGATGTGGATTCAAACACTCCTACTGTGACCTGCGCTTTCCAGAGAATCCACTTTATCTAACAAGTGTTGCAGACAGAAAAAGATTATTGGAAAGACAAATGTTTACCTTCTCTGTTTTCACTTTGGACTTCTTTTTCAAAGGTTCTCCTTCACTTTCTTCTTCATGACTGTGTTGCTTGTCCTTTCTCTTTGAACTGCAGGAATTGAGAAACAGAAAAGAGAGTGGTTTACAAACAGAAAAATAAAAACTATTCCACACAGATTTGTTTTTTATGTGAAAATAACGGCTAACTAAAATTAGAAAGATTAAACGTAAACAAAATTGTTGGATTTCACGCAAAGAAACCCATTCAGACTTACGTAGGTGATGCAGCGGTTTGTGACGTCCCTTCCATTGATTCATCTTTAACTCGTTTTCTTTTCAGACCATTTACTGAAGTAAAATCATCTTGTGGCTCTCGTTTTACAGAGTCACTAAAACCACAAGCAAAGAGAATTATTTTCTTCTATTCACAAGTTCATTGTGTTTGCAGTATCACCAAGTTGCACATTTTAGTTTAAGCAGTAACACTGTTGGGAATGAAAAAAAAACCCAGTTTAAAACTGCAGCTTTGGGTTTATAATAAGCAAGATAGCAGCCAAACTTTTTAAAGTCCAATTCCACAAATTGCAGGGGGTAAGTAATATTTTCAACTAGTCTTAATTAATTTGATCCCACTGAGACCCTGCTTAAGTATTATTAAAAAAAAAACTAAAAAAAAAAAAAACATTTTGAAAGTCTTAGCATTGCACATTTTTCTACGTTTTTAATCTTATTTGAATTTTTAATTCTCAATTTAGCCCCATTTAAAGTCTAATAATCAGACATTTAAAACGCTGAATAGCATTTTTTTTTTTTCTTGCTGGCCCCAGTTAGGCTAAAAATTATACTTCCAGATGAAATACAAAGAAAAAAAAAATCTATAAGCACACAATTTACTGACCACAAGAAATAACTAATTGTAGCAATTAAGAAACATCATTGAAACAGTAACGATAATGACATAATTGAAGCATTTAGTAATGGACAAAAAATAATTACTGCACAGAACTGCAAGCTTGGATTTTCACTGCAGAGGAGAATCAATGAGGAAGGAAAAGACCAAACTTAAGAAAACTGAACCTAAACTACCAAATAAATCACTGGTTTTATTTTATTTTATTTTATTTAAACTGTTAAGGTCCAAGGAGGCCTCTAAATTTATGAACATGTAAATAGAAATATAATACAAAATAGTTTAAGCAAAGATTAACAAATGTTTACAATTAAATATATAAAAATGTATGACACTGGCACAAATTTGTTCAATAGTTTTATTAAATTTCCAATTACAAGCTTCTATAGCAGCAACTACCCACAAGGTGGTATCTCACTGGGATGTGACTATTGGAAACTATTTGGAGACTCAATATTGCAGGAAAATTGCAAGAAAAATGTGCTAATTTCCATTTCAGTCTCACTGAGTTCTGAATATTTGACCAGCAGGTGATGCGGTTGTGTTTTGAACAGGCAGTTGTTCAAAATCACAGCCTTTTTTCATGTACACAACTTGCAAAACTGTATTCTTGGCCGTGCACATTTTATTGCCCAACTCCAACCAAATCATACCCATCTTGGGAGTCACCCTCATATTTGTGACCACACTTTTAAAATGAAGATAGGCAGGTTTGGATCAGATTGTCAATTTTACCATCAGTGTGTTCTTTGGGTCTGAACTACTGCCTCGGATGTTTTCTGTTGGAGCAGAGCTCCTGTGAAGGGGTCAAAATACTGCTCTAGTGACAAAGAAAGGTTGGAGATGCCTACAAGACGATTCGAGATGTGATCAGGATGCCCATGACTACTTTGAAAGAAAATTCGTCACCCAAATTTTTTGATCATGTTCAAAACTCAAGTGACAGGACTGTAAGCCTTTATCACTCACATGAGGAAAAACACCAAGACCTTCTGGAGTCTCTCTCATAAATGCTGTCTGTCTACTAACCACAGCCCAGTGAGATACCACCTAAAACTCCCTTTTTAAATGCAACCCCTGGTGGCTTGGATGTAAAGATAATGAACTTCAGCAGATTTTCTGCTCTGTGATTCTGTCTGGTCTTTTCTACACAGTCTATGAACTCGGACATTAAACAATAATGCTGCGAGATCTATTTACAGTTAAAATGGCTTTCAGACTCGTTACAAAAGAAGATAAACATTTACTGAAAGCATCACATTCACCTTCTTTGATCACACTTAACAACAACTTCCAATTTCTTGTAATGTTGTATTTATTTTGCTGGACCCGATATGTTCTTTTCAGAATATAAAGCTGCAAAAATAAAATATTCAAGAGCTTTAACACTTGACCCACTTATTTCAAGCAAATGTTCCAAGGGGAACAGCACTTTTTAACAATATTAAGCTAACAAAAGCAAAATTGCTACTATTACATTCATACAAAACTAAACATGAATTGCATTTGACAGAACTACAGGATAAAACTGGCAACGCAGACCCACACTGACTAAATTAGTTCCAGCAGGTTCCCCTTTGCATAAGGTTTTGCTCATCACAGCTTCCATCAGGGACAGATGGATTTCTAATGTGACAAGTAAATGCAGGAACTGCAGCTCCAGCCAGCAAGTGTCAGTGTGTCACAATCACATCCTTTCCTAAGGTAATTACAAATACATCAATATTCTTATCCTTGAATGGTGTTAACTGCTGGTGAGCAAATGCTTTTTTTTTTTAACTAAAGACAGAGAAGTAGTAGCCTTTGTCAAACATTCTTAATGTTTTTTTTAGGTCATTTTAAAAGATGAAGTATATTTGGATTACAAACTGTTCAGGGAAAAAAGAGCTGGTATAAAGTATCACTTCAGTTTTGTTATATACTGCACCACTGACCAAAATCTATAAAAGCTATACAAAAGAAGGGTGGGTCACTGCTTCCATTGACATTTACGCTTTATGCTTCTAATAGCTTTGCGTTTCTTCGCCAACTCTGCTGCGAGGCCTTAGCTTTCCTCCCTGCATAAAACCCGCTCAAGCAGCACCGCTCCCGCTCTGAATCATCGCGGGGGTGGAGGAGTGAAAAGAAACTTACAAGACAAAATTTAGCAAAGACGTTTTTCCAATTGACATATCTTTCAAAATGTCACTTATCACACTGGGTTCGGTTAAATCTACATCTGGGAAATAATCCATTATCAACTGTACAGAAGCACTGCTGTGAAACAGATTTGACTCAGCAGGTCTCCGGCCAGAGTCTGCCATCGAGGCAACTTCCTGCTGAGCACTCAGCCACTGAAACCATGCACTCTCATTTGTTACTTTCATGACAATTCACTGATATTTGTCTTTGGTACAAAGTCAAATTAATTTTCTGAGACAGCTTAGCACATTTTGCAAAACAAGAATGCCTTTGTCCAGGGCCCCTAAACATCAGAACATAAATCAATTTTCATCACCTCGGGAGGGAGGACAAAAAAAAAAAAAGAATGTTGCACATTTGCAATATAATCGTTTGTCAGTTCATTGTTCAGCCTTTAATAGTACATCATCTCCAGACAGTAGAAATTATTCCCTACCTGGAACTGCTGACAGACTCCTGGGTCTCTGTCTTCAGAGTTTTGACCTACAAGGAAAGAAAAGTCACAAAGCTGACCTGCAACATTACTGCAAAAAGTCCTAAAAATGTACAAATAAACTGTTAGGTCTTACTTTTAACACTGTAATATTTTTACTTGTAAACTATGCAAAAACCTTTACTTTTAAAATGCGTAAAGATGGGAAACATTTCTAAAGCCCTTGAATAAAATGTGAAATAAAGCAACGTCTAAAAAAAAAAAAAAAACTATACAGATCTTATGAATGTGAAAGTAAACAATAGCGATGTTAAGCCATTAACTCCAAAAGATGAAAGGATTTATATCAACAAAAATCCAGGAAATTGTATTTTCAGGTTCTGTAGAGAGGGTTTGCTTTTTTCAGTTTAGTGCACTTTAGATGTGCACAACTTGTGATAAATCTAGTAGAAAGTGAATGTGTCAGTGTCATACTTTGAGCACTGTGGGCCTTTTTCAAAAACATTTAGAAACAGCTGTTTTACTGGATGAGATCTTGTAAGATATATCTTATATATATACATATATACACACTTCACTTTTAAAGTGACGCACATCTAAGTGGCTGCAGTCTCAACAACAGATGAGCACGCAGAGTGGTGGTGTTAGTTTGGCTTCACATCATCTGTTCAAATGTATCCCACAGATAATCAATAATGTAAAGCACTGCTCAGACTGTCCTAAAGGAGGTTTTAGGAGTGACTACACAAAGTGAGCAAGTGTAAACCATGTTTTATATGATTTAACCTGCAGCTTTTTCTCTCCGACTCTACTGTACTTTAACTGCCCCATCCACTCCTGAATTAATGCTATGAACTATTGAAGCTGATATGAATGTTGATGTTCCGCAAAAACCTTTTCATATCATCAAGAGGAGATATGTCTCTCATCTCCATTGCAGTATTTCAGATGCAATCAGAGACCCAGTGGCATATTTTTTACTTAACAATCACCTGTTGAATAAAAGCTAAGCTACAAGAACAGCTAGTCTCATGTAATTTTTAACAAATACAGATAATAAAAGGTTTGTTTTTACCTTCTTTGGAGACTTTGCATTTTGTGTCTTGTCTTTAGATCTACTTGTCTTTGTGCTGGTTAACAGTATGACAAGACCAAAGAAGGATGACCATGTAAGAAAGGGAAAACAATTGTTAGAGATTCAGGTTGTGTACAGTAATACAAAACAGACTAAATTAACTCAAGTATAAGGACTTGTTCTTTTGCTTTTTCCATTTTAACTAGTGATGCTTTCTCACAAAATGTAAGCACAACCCTTGTACTGCCTACACATTGAGCGTCTTTACCAGCAGCTGGCAAATTTGTTCACAGCGTGGACTCACATTTTGACATTTTTGTTTGCTTTAATTTAAACTAACACTTCTCAGTTGAGAAAACTTGCCCAATCAGGGCATGGCCATAATTATATGTTCTTGATTTTTATATATGCGTGTTGGTCTGATATAAAACACAAAAGCAAAGCAATAAGTCAACTGCTTTAACTGTTCAACTATGTGCACAATTTTAGTGTAAATTTGATTCTTGCCATCTAAGAATACCTGTGAAAAATAAAAAATAAAAAATCCCAGCCAGCCAGAAAAAAAACAAAAAAACAAGGGAAAGCATGTTTTGTTATCCAAGATCCAAACATTTTATGTCAAGACATCTTGAGTTTGTATCAAAACAGAAATAAAAGGAGGTATCATCCATTTAGGCATGTCAAGATGGTTTTAAAAGTCAGTTGGTGCTGCACATCAGCATAAAGTGTAGTATTAAAATAAATGGAGGAGCTCCACAACAAGATTAAAATTTTGCATATTTTGGTCTGTACTCCGCCACAGCTCATGGTGCAGCGAGCACAACATAAATCACAGATACTCTTATAGAGTTCTTAGAGTGATGGCTTAAAGGCATCTTCAGTTGATGTTAGACTCACGTCTGTGCCTTGTTAGGATAATTTTAGTCAGGCAGTTTTGTAAAATGTCACAAAATAGACAAGCAGAGTCCCAGAAGATTACCATATACTATCAAATATGCAGTTTCTGTTTGACCTTTATATGGCTCAGGGGTGAATCAGACTCTAGCTGCAATTACTCCCCAGCTATATTACCTATTTTCGTTTTAATTTAAAAATGTGAGCATTTAACTAAGGAAATGAAACAGTTAATGCAAGAGGCGCGTGCTCAGGAAAATTAGTTCCACGAGTAGCACGGCTGAGGGGGATAAGTTGATCCTTAATCACTAATTCGGTCAGCGTGCCATGAAATAACATGAAACTGGCTGTCACAGAAAGCTGACTACTCCCTACTGCCAGTGGCGCTTACAGGTGTCGATTCATCTCTCTCCTCTCATCAATTACACAAGCCAATGACAGATCACTCCGCATTCATTTGTCTGCTCACATATGCATGGTAATAAACGCGCCTGATATCAAAGTAAATTAATTTATTCATATGAAGATGGAGTATCCACTGTGCTCTGTGAAATGAATGAACTCAGTGACACCAGCTAGCCTAACAGCTCAGCCAGAAAAGCATTCTCCCAGTTGCATTTAGTGTCTTTTCATTTAAACACTTACTACCATATAACTTGTCATATTTATCAAGTTTTCAAGCATATGGCTCCCCCAAAATCAATTTGTTTTTACCTTTTAGACAGCACGAAAGACATTGTTCCTTGCAAAACCAGCTTTGATGTGTGTCCTGTGTCCATACTGAACAGATGTGCTGCAGCAACTTCATCATAAGCATACAACAATGGGGAGCTGCTTTAATGGTGTAATTATGTCAGTGGTTCAAAGTACTGATTCGATAATGGTTCCTCAGTCTTTGATGGTGGAATAATGAGCCTTATCTATACTATGGCCGTGAGCAAACACTTTTTCTCCTCATACATTTATCCAACTTTTGATTGTTCTCACATCTTCATTCACCTGTTCTTGACAACATCCCCCACGGCACCTGTTCTTTCACGGTCACTCAGCCTTTTCAGGTTCTTCGCCTTGTCTTTGGTTTTTCCGTCCCCTTTAGAGTCCTTTTCTCTTCCCATTTCTCAAACGAACACAGCACATTAGCTGGTCAGCAGTAAACACATAAAAAGGAAATAAAATAAACAATCAAGATTAGCATTTCAAGCCAACAAGTAAAAAGCCCTGATGTTAGTTAGCAAGCTACTAGCTAACAATGGCGCCACCGGTTGAATTTCAATAAAAGCATAACGTACCTAATGAACAAAATATTGCAATGTGTTGCAAAATGAAAAAATAAAAAATAAGTCTCACCCCTCCTTAGGTCAGTAAAAGACAAATATGAGTTGTTTTCAGAGTCAAACACTGATTTTTATACAAGTATTCGGGTAAAAGAAGGTCGCGTGCAGACTTTGCCAAGCTGTCCTAACTCCAGCTGACTGCTGATTGGACAAGAACCTAGCAGCGCGAGGCGCCAAATTAGTTAAGTGTTTTGCCAGAAAGTGTGACCCGTTTATTTTTGGTTAGGTTTGGGACCCAGGCAGAAAGGATAACTTTGCCTTAAAATTTGTCAAAAATGTATTTTTCGTTTCTGCATTGTGCCTTAATATTGCCATTTTGAGTTATTAAATTTAACTAAATTAAAATAAATTAAATTAAACAGAGAGTATTAATGTGTCAAATTCACAGTACTGTAAAAGGTTTGTTTTACATCATAATTTTCTATTGGTATAAGAGAATAATAGATCAATAAGTAGTAATTGATACGGATGAACTCACTGTTCTCCCGAAAGGTGCATATGTAAATTTGAAGAGCCATTAGACATTATGTAAATGATATTTAGCTGCTATTCATATCTTTGCTCATATTTGCTATGGCTTCATGTTACCTCTTGACTGAATCCTAATTTTACGTTCAGTAGAAAATTGTATAGAAACTCCATACTAAATTTTAAGAAGGCTTTTGCTTTATTTCTTTATTTTTTCCGTTTATCCTTTGATTATTCCTTTTTAAATGTAATTTATTATTAACTCACTCAAGATATTTTACTGAGCAGTTGTTTAAAATTCCTAGAAAAACTACTAATAAATGAGTTTTTAACAACTTACAAATACTGCACATCAATTTTAATACCTTTTACAGTCCTATGCTGGTTTAGAATTGGAAAATGTTTGTCAATATTTGCAAAGACAAGATTTTTGCGGCGGTTTAGAAACAAAATATATATGTTCTCTATTAATAAAATGTATCTCCAATAAATAAAGTTTTTAAACAAACAAACAAAAGACAATAGCTGGCATTATTAAAAAAATGCAATGCACAAGCAGATGGACATCATTTAAATGTAAACCTAAAGTGTGTCATTAAACAAGACTTCTAATGTCTGCATTTTTTAAAATAAAGTCTTTTCTAGCAATCAAAACCAATAGCCATACAGTAAAATGCCCAATAAAAATGAAAGCATAGACGTTAGAAAGGTTTTCACTGTGGTTGTAAAACATTAGGAGCAAATCTTGAGCTGTTTAATGGACCACTTGTCAAAACTATGAAGTGATATGTGCCCAACTGAGGCTGCCAAGAAAGTGTTTGATGATGAACATAAAACACTCAGGTTGACATTATTTCTACACTGATTGTGGCAAGGAACTGCAACACTGCACTGTAATCATTAAATGAGCTGGTTACAAAAAAATAATGTAAAAACTTTATAAACAAATCTTTGTTCTTCACTTTGCCAGCAGATGATTATAAAGTTGTGATCCCAGATATCTTCTCTGTAGCTTCTCCAAACAAGTATTTATTTAACCTTTGTAAATTTGACAGATAGATGTTACAGTATCTCACACATACTACTAAAACCCGTCAAATGCAGATGCTCCATTGTTCAGATGTTCAAGAATAACATCAGTATGCACATACAGTACAAAGAACCCTGCAAGCTTTTCAAATCTTTTGGTCAAAAAAAGAAAATTGTTGTGCAGTTGAAAAGTCTGTTTCATCACATTTCTTTGCAAGCAATATTAAAAACATATAATTAGTATAATTACACTCATTTTATCAAGCAGAGTAACCCTCTGGGTCTCAGCAGTTTTTGGAATAAAAATGCCTAAATGTGAATTTCAAATATTTAATAGATTGAGATTCTTCTTTTTATTATTATGCACATATCTGTTTAAAACAAGTTATTTTTATTTAGTGAAATAGTTGATTTGTCAGGGGTGATGGACATTTTTAAATAAAAAAAACAAGAACGTGAAACTAACCATCCATCCATCCATCCATCCATCCATCCATCCAGCCAGCCAGCCAGCCAGCCATCCATTATCTTTTACCACTTCTTCTTTTTAAGAAAAATACAAATTGTTTTTTTTGGAAATTCTTCTTTTTCTTTTGGCTTTTCCCTCTTCAGGGGTCATCACAGTGAGCCACCCTTCTCCATCTCACTCTTTCCTCTGAATCCTCTGTCCTCACTCCAAATACCTCCATGTCCTCTCTAACTGAATCCATATATCTTCTCTTTGGCCTTCCTTTTTGTATTTTTCCTGGTAACTGCATTTCTAACATCCTTCTACCAGTATACCCACTGTCCCTCCTCTGGACATGTCCAAACCATCTCAGTCTGGGCTCTCTAACTTTATCTCCCAGTTGTTCAACCTGTGCTGCACCTTTGATGATCTCATTCCTAATCTTATTCATCCTTGTCACTCCTAAGGAGAACCTCAACATCTTAATTTCTGCCACTTCCAGTTCTTTCTCCTGTCTTTTTTGTCAGTTTCACTGTCTCCAGAACATACAACATAGCTGGTCTCACCACTGTCTTGTAAACTTTTCCTTTGACCTTTGCTGACACCCTTTTGTCACAAATCACTTCTGACTTTTCTCCACACACTCTGCCTGGACTCTCTTTTTCACCTCTTTACCACACTCCCCATTTTCCTGGACAGTGGACTCCAAGTAATTGAAGTCTTGCACCTTTGTGACCTCTGCTCCTTGGAGCCTCACTGCTCCACTGGCCTCCCTCTCATTCATATGTACTCGGCTGATTTCCATTCCTATTCGTTCAAGTGCATACCTCCACCTCTCCAAGTTCTCTTCCACGTGTTCCCTGTTCTCACCACAGATCACAATGTCATCTGCAAACATCATAGTCCTCAGGGGTTCCTACCTGACCTCATCTGTTAGTTGGTCCATCACCAGAACAAACAAGAAGGGGCTCAGAGCTGATCCTTGATGCAATCCCACCTCCACCTTGAAGCTATCTGTCACTCCTACAGCACATCTCACTGTTCATTGTCCTCATACATGTCCTGTACCAGTCTAACATACTTCTCTGCCACTCCAGATTTCTTATACAATACCACACTTTCTCCCTTGGCATCATATGTTTTTTATCAAAACCACAAAGGCACAATGAAGTTCTTTCTGACCCTCCCTATACTTTTCTATCAGTATCCTCAAAGCAAAAGGCAGCCTAACCTACTATTTGAATTATGCTGCATAAATTCTATGCACATGTTACAAAACCTTTGAACATGTACACTGCTAGAGGTTTTGTCATCTATTATAAATGTATTTACTAAAAACTACTCAGGTTCCTGTTTTTAAGGAGCTACTTCAGAGGGTCTGAAGAACCTCGGGTGACTCCAGAGCTACAGGTTGCAGAGCAGTGGGAGGACAGATTTACACAAGTGACTTTAACAAGGTCCCAGATGTGCATGAAAGCACTTGCATTAACAGTTAAGTCTTTTAAAAATAATCTCATATTTTTTCCCTTTGTATCCTGTCACACTGGGCAGCATGGTGGCACAACTGGTAGAGCTGCTGCCTTTCAGCGAGCAGGTCCCTGGTTCAAATCCCGGTTCAAGGGCCTTTCTGGGTGGAGTTTTCATGTTCTCCGTGCATGAGTGAGTTTTCTGCAGGTACTTCAGTTTCCTCCCACAGACCAGAAACATGCATGTTAGGCTGAATGGTAACTCTAAATTGTCCCTAGGTGAGGGTGAAAGAGTGAGTGTTTGTTTGTCTCAATGTGGCCCTGTGATGGACTTGCGACCTGTCCAGGGTGTCCCCCGCCCCTCGCACAGTGATTGCTGAACATGGGCACCGGCGACCCCCGTGACCCAAAATGGAAGAAGCGGGTAAAAGATAATGGATGGATCCTGTCACACTTTGCCTATTTTAACATAACAAAGTTTACATCTCCACGTGAATGGGTCAATGCACACTTAAAAAAAAAAAAAAAAAACTTTATTGAACTATTAAACAACATAACAGAACACAAGAACAAAATAACAAATGTCAATCTCAAATTACAATATGATCTATATAAACATGTAAAAAAAATCCTCTGTCATAAGGTCAATATATATATATATATATGTAAACAAGTTAAAATATTCAGCACAAATTTAATTTTAAGTAACATTATTAGTATCAGAGAATTAGCAAATAATATGATAAAAATAAAATCAAAACCCAGAACAATTCATCCAACATTAACTACTCAAATAAGTTGTTAGAGGGCATCTGAGCGAGCTGATAATATCTGTTGTTTTTTTTTTTAATACCGTCTAATGAAAGTTTTAATATCTGTGGAGTTCTTGGTTGAATACAGACCGTAACGGCGTAGACTTGCCATATATGCATTTATGTATATTGAATTATAAGAGGGTCAACGCACACGTGAATGAATAGACGTTGTTATGACAACGGTACTGTCACTTTAAGAAACCCGGAAGTGTTTCCCTGTGTTTACTGTTGGCTCGCGCGTTCTAAACGGACAGCTGAGGACGTTCCCTGACATGATATCCAACCGTGTTAACTGGGCTGTCCGAAGTAGTGTGAGGTGCTGGAGACAACGAGCTGTCTGTAATGTGGCTCTAGAGGCCGTGAGCGTCAGCCGCTGCTTCTCTGCTCCATCTCGACGCGGCGTCTCGGACATGGAGGAGCTACTGGCCAGGGTCGTCGTGCCGTTGCCTTCGTACGAAACGCGAGACAAATCCCCACCTCCTCCCGAAACGGTTTGCTTGGAGTTTATGCACTACTACAGAAGTCTCGAGAAGGAAGACAAACTCGACATCCTGACCAAACTGTCCCAAGAATACGGGGTGGATCATAAAATGGTTTCGGAGCTCTCTGTAAAGCTGTTGGACGCTCAACTGCGAGACTTGGCGACCATTCTGCAGGTTGAGGACAGGCTCCGGTACAGTTTGACGCCCCGTTATAAGCAGCTGCTCAGCCATATAAGCAGGGTCGAAGGTGGGGTGAAGTTTCTGGTGGATATCCGTGCTGATGTGCTTGAAGTGATGTCACTCAAAGCAAGCGAAAGCCCGCACATCAGGGTACAGTAATGTTTGTTTTCTTGAAGTACGGGTGCTTGCATGGCTCAAATCCTGTCATACGCGCTTATGCAGCTACTGAGCAGTGGAATTTTTCAGTTTTGAATTTTTATTTTTATTGGCAATAAAAGTGTTAACAAAATGAATATCAACATTATAAAACAAAATGAACAAGACAATAATGCCAGGGGGTTATAAAGCGAACACAAATACATCCATATACACATTTAGGAGTTTTTCTGTTTGATAATTCAGCTGTAGCATGCAAGTGTCAGCAGTGGCTGAGTATAGCTGCTTACACAACTAACCTTTCACATACTGAAGCCTCCTCTCTCCTGTCACGAGTCTCCCCCATTAATCACAGCTGCTGACACTGACCTTTACCCTAGTTTACATTTTTTTTAACAACTAGACTTGTATTTATATTTATTGCATTTAAGATAAGAAACTAAATCAAATCATAGGACTTGCAGTCCTTGAAGGAATGCATATCGCCCACTGCTTTTCATACCAAAGTTAAATATTAAGATGAGCTTATGTTGAAATATGACAATTGGTTAAACCTTGAAAATATTCTGCATGATCTCTAAACTTGGATTATGTTGTGAATGACTCTCAGCAACTACCACACCAAACTTTAGCTCAATATCTGTAAAAGTCAGGGTCAGTTTGTTTTTATTTAGGCTATCTGTGGTTTCTATATTGAACCGGAGTAACTCCAAAAGTTAAACAGTTGTAGATGTATTGTATGAGATATTTTCTTAACAGACAGGGTTGACTCCAACATTTTAAGTAAAAATGTTGTACAATGCATTGCACGTGAAGCTTGTGTTGGCGATGATGCTTTGCAACAACCAATTTTAGCTGATCGTTTTAAAAATTGTGTTTTCCAAGGTCAGTTGGCTGTGACAGCCATTTTGAAACGACGAGGTCAACAGTTTATCAGTTATAGATGTGCATCCATTGATTACGTGCTGACAATTTCATTAAAACACATCCAGTGGTTCACAAGATATTTGACTAACAAATATAATTGATTCCACTAGTTATTGGGGAAGTTTGAACCACAGATCTTGTGCTCTGATAAGTTGATCTACACACCAACTTTAATCTTAATATCTGTGAAAGTGACTAAGTTTTTGTTATTTTTGCATTTGTTGAGATCGCTTTGCTGTGGCGGCCATCTTGAATTGGGTTAATTCCAAAAGTTTATCACTTCTGAACGATTGATTAAAATCCATTCCATGAGATGTTTTGCTAACTCTACAAATGGACGAGCAAAGACACGGGCGAAAACATTATTGCTCTTGCGCCTTAGGCAGCAGGCAGTTTTTAACATTGCAATTTAATGAACAGAACCTGAGTCAGTTGAATGGCTAGTCATTTTATTAATCTCTTTGTTTTTTTTTTTTTACATGATATCAACTCATCAACTTAATTTCCACAAGTCCAACCCCAAATTTGCAAGTTATTTTGACCATGATGTTTCTCCTTAGCTGGCAGCCACTCATTATTGTCTTCGGCTCTTCCAACTACCTTCGGCTGCAGCCAAATATTTCGCATTTTGACTCATCAGTCCAGAGCACCTGCTGCCATTTTTCAGCCATTCTCGGCTGAACAGATCCACTGATCAGGGATCAGTGCTGCCTATTGGTGTAACTGAAAAACCCGTGTGTTTAAAAAAATGACTCCAGAAATGTTTAATTCAACACATGAGCAGACAAGAACTACTCTACTGTAGCAGCAAATTGAAAAAAAAAAAAAAGCTGAATATAAATCAGGCATGTAATGAGTATTTTGAATGAATCCTTTGAAGACAAAGTGAAAATAAAATTGCTAGAAAAGGTAGTGGAAAGGGAAAACTACATTTCTATCACAGTTGGAGACATAGCTCCTATGGTCTTTGCCCCCTTAATAGCACAATTTTTGGAGACTTATTTAACAGAAAAGCCAGTTTCGTGTACCTCATTGTTCAGTCAAATATAATTACAGTTTTCATGCAGTCCAGCAGCTGGTGTAGTACTCTGTGGAGGTAGAATGAAATACAAAAGTTTCAGTGGTACTTTTTGTTAGAACACAAGTTTCTCCAAAATTTCTCTCTCTTTTTTTTTCTTTTTTTTCCATAAAGCTCAAACCTATTTAGATAAAAAAAAAAAAAAAATCTGTTAGTGGTCAAATTCCTGTTGATGAATTTACAATAGAGATCAGAAGAAAAGATGCTGATCAAAATAATCACAAAACAAATGAAAAAAATAAATGCACGTGTTGACCGTGACTTTTGTATGGTGCACTTAAACAGCACACGTTTATATACAAGTCAGAAACTCTTAATGTTTTAAAGCTTTCTTTGCTTTAAGTGCATTTTAAAAATATTTTTCTCAATTTTAATTTGTCTTCTTTTTTAATAATAATAATAGTTGTAGCAGTGTTTGTTTGGAGCATTTGCAAAATTTCTTTTCAACTACTGCCCAGATCTTAATCAACCGTTCAGAAAATAATACAATAATACAATATAATACAACTTTATTTGTAAAGCACTTTAAAAACAACGCTCTTGGCCAAAGTGCTGTACTAGGCCTGTCGCGTTAAACAATAAATCAATTAATCGCATGATGAATGAAAATTATTGACGTCATTTTCATTTATCGGCTTTATCGTTTCTTCGTGTCTCTCTTTCTACTGGAGACGCTGGATGACAAAAGGCTCAACTCCGGTGCTCTTCACTGAGCCCTCCCTTTCTCTTTTCTTTTTAAAATCTGTTTTAACCTTCCAAAATCACATTTTTGCATTGTTTAAAGTAGCTAAGCTGAGAAGCTAAGCTAACAGGCCGACCTCAGGAATAATAATAATAATAATAATAGTAATACATTTTATTTATATAGCACTTTTCTAAATACTCAGACGCTTTACATGAGAAAAAAAATCATAATGCATAACAAATAAAAACACAGTAAAACATTTAAAAATGGCAAATTTAAACATTAAAAGCAATTTTAAACAGGTGGGTTTTGAGTTCTTTCTTAATAGTGGAGAGATCGAAGCAGGCGCAAAGCTGTTGGGGCAGTGAGTTCCAGAGGGTGGGGACAGCGACGGAGAAGGTTCCGGCTCCCCTGGTTTGGAGTTTGGTCCTACAGCGGAGAGAAGGCGGACAGCAGAGTTTTGAATATATTGCAGTTTGTTTAAAATAAACCTCCATCTTGTCGAAGCTCCAAAATTCACAGTTGAAACCCGTGCCTTTGTGTAAAAAGTTGTTTTTCTCTGCAAAAAAAAAGCTGAGAACTTCTTTACTGATTTTTTTTAATTAAAAGCTTTGTGTAAAAAATGCTATGCTAAAGAGGTCAAACCACACCGAGCGTCCGCCATATCACCATGTCAGCCCATGTCACCTCTTCCATTTTTCTTAGACACGCTGCTCAACTATCCATCCTTTGATTCAGTCTTATACTGCCATCATGTGGTCAAAAAAGGTACTACACTCCAAACAAATCAACATTTCTTCTAAAATTTGACAATTAATTATTGTTAAATTTCAAACAATATTATCGTTTAGCGCAATAAATTTCTGAGACAATGAATCGCCCAGCAAAATTTGTTACTGTGACAGGCCTACTGTACACCAACGCGTACAAGCAAGCATAAAAACCATAATCACTAGTTGTGCGACTTAACTTGTTTAGTATTCGGAATCAACCCAATTCAAGATGGCTGCCACAGCTAAGCAACCTTGGCAAACACAAAAATGACTATAATCTAAACAATTTTACATATAATCTGTGCCTTTGACCTGGTATCAGTGTGTTATTAAGTGCTAGTCATCGCCTAATGCTATTTTCAAGCGACCTGTATTGAACCATATATTATTTCCTTCTCCTGGTCTGTTGAATTTATGTATTTTTTCCTGCTTGGAGGTGTTTAGATGCATTTAATCTCAATATCCCACTGAGAGCTTCTATAGCTCGTACAGGTCTATAGGCTTCCTACATAATCCCTATACGCAGTGCTTACCACCTTGATCTTGGTGGTGCCCTTCAATCTTTGCTTTTATTGTTGTTATTGCCAGAATTGATTGAGCTAAAGCGAGGAAAGGTCACGTTAAATATTACGCTTTTTAGTTCCAGAATTGATGGTTTGTGCATATTGGCTGGGTGGGGGAGGGGGGCTAGCAATCAAAGTGCAATGGATTATCAGAGTAGAACAAACATATCATCAAAGACGGAGAGAGAGAGAAAATAGGAATTATACGGTTGTAAATTTACTGCAGTTTGAAATGCACAAGGCTGCTGTTTTGTGGTTCTTGCAGGGATGTAATTTTGAAAGTTGTTGTCCATTAGTCTCTTGCTCAGTTAATTTAATATTGATGTTTCTTTGCCTACCTTCAGGCTTTTCATTCTTTGTCACCACAAACTGAGTGGATAAAATGTAATATGTCCCAAGACGTCATTTTTGTTTGGCTCCTCCTCTACATAAAGCATAAAGCATCTGTGTGACTATTTTTTCCTACAGACTTTAGCTCAGCTGGCATGCTCCCTACTAGAGTAAGGGTCTCTTTCTCTGGTTTCCCCTGCAAACACTTGGGCAGTCATTGGTCATTTAATCTGTGTGCAGACAGCTCCTTCCAGACACTGCAGTTTATCAAACTCTCAATAATCACACAATAACTGCAGCTCAAGATAAAGAAAAGTCCTCGTTGCAGAGGTCGTATCTCTTACCATCAGCGTCACAATGTATTGATACAGCCAGTGTCCAACAGTGCTGCTTCATTCTCTTTCTAATAGTGTGCAGGGTTTTCTTCTGTAGCCTTTCCCTTCTTTCTCCAATCTCTTTCCAGCCTTTTGCTTTTGATCCTTCCATTTCTAAAGACTTCATCTTCTCCGAGGTCAACGAAATACATATCTCGGTTTGACCTCCTTTTTGTGTGGTTGAAAGTTGGTTTCCCGAGGCAGCCGCTGCTTTACTCCTTTGGTGTTGCTGGTTTCTCAGCAGAAATGGCATGCTGGGATTATCGTCCGTAACAGATTTTTTCACCTCGGGCAGCTTGAAGAATACAGAGACACACACATATGCCATTGCATAGGTGATGGGAAGTTTTGCTGAACTTTTTTCTTTGCTTAGGGTCTTTTTCTGGTTTAATAGGGCCTGCTGCATATCCATGGATTAGAAATTCTAATGTTGTTAGTTTTGGATTCGATAGGTGTTCATTGAGAATTCTCCTCGATTATCTTTGCATTATGACTCTTGTTGGGCTTGTTTGTATTAGCTATATTGATTGACAAGCCAGTATTAAAGGAAGCCTGCAGAGAAGTCATCCTATAGAAGAAAAAAGTCAGCATGAGCTGTTTTTATGTGCTCGAGCGTGTGTGCTTGTTTGTGTGTTTGCAAGAGATTTGCTTTAAATGAAGTCTGACCTTTGCTGGAGGACAGGCTGCTTTGAAATGGCAAGGTGTTTATTGAAGTGCCCCTTCGACGCCCATTGTGAGCCCCCTCAAATCACTATTCATAATGTGTAAACATTCAAACAGCATACAGACAGCCTGGAGACCATACAGTCAGCACAACGTGTAAGATAAGGATATGGAATTGTTCGTTTCCTACAGGCAGTTTACTGTCACTCAGTAATATGGCTTTTTAAAAAGCTATTTCAATAAAACTGGTCTGTATTTATAGCTCTTAATAGAAACACAGAAAACTGCAATTGTATTTTATAGTTTTTTTTTCTTTAAATGATACAAACTAAACTTGTATTGGTATAATAAAGACATTTCCTATCGTGCTTACATCTGATGATCTTCCTTATTCACTTATTTTTCCCCAGGATTTGAGTTTTACCATATTTTTCAGACTATAAGGCACACTTAAAATCCTTTAATTTTCTCAAAAATAGACAGTGTGCCTTATAATCAGGTGCACCTTATGTATTAATTCTGGTTGTGCTTACTGACCTCGAACCGATTTTATCTCATACACGGCACTCAATAAAACAGGAAGTGTTCCTGTTGTGGTTTCGTTTCGCTTAATGTGTCTTATAATCCAGTGTGCCTTATGTATGAAACAGACCCGTTCATTGATATTGCGCCTTATAATCAGGTGCGCCTTATAGTCCGAAAAATACGGTACTTTCATTGACAGAGCAGCTGCATACCGCTTCGTTATTACCAAAAGTATTTAAGTTATATTTGAATTTCAACTGGATTTGGATGTGTGATTCTGAAAGATTTGATTTCCTCCCTCAGGAGCTGAATGGTGCTCTGAAGAGCTTACTCTCCGAGTGGTTCTCTGTTGGTCTACTCCGACTGGAGAGAATCACATGGCAGTCCCCGTGCGAGGTCCTACAAAAGATCAGCCAGTAAGAGCAATCATACAAGCACTTTATTTTTTGCAAACAGGCTTGTCCAGCTGTCCTGTGCCTGCCTGAATGTAGTACATGAGTAAGAAGCAGATTTAATGCTTAATTATGAAGAAAACTTCCTTTAACTAGAATATTACTTTTACTAGTCCAAGTAATCAACATCCACTTTGAATATGCATTCCTCTTTTGACTAAATTTATCCTAGAAATAATAAAATAATTTTGCAACTGCAGGAAAAAACTCATACGCTGATTCATTTATTTTTTTTAACTGATGAAAATGCAAAAAACATTTGTTTTAGATGTTTCAATATAAATTCTTATCTAGTTTGGGATATTTTGCCCAAAACCACAGTTACTTGCCATTTTTAACTTTAGACAATTTAGCTTTAAAAATTCATATAAGTTGTATTAAAAGTATGGGCTAATACAGTAGTCCCTCATTTATTACGGGGTTTTGTAGTAATTATTATTATTATTATTATTATTATTATTATTATTATTATTATTATTATTATTATACTTTTTTAATACCTATTTTAATTTAGTTTTATTTATTTAAGTGAAAATTCAGCTCAATTAAGTTGGGATCTGGCGATTGACACAGCCATTGCGCAATGTTTATTTTATTTAGACTTCTATGGATTTGGAGAGTAAAGAAGAATATTTTGAGTCACTTCCCATCTATATCATTTATAAGTGCCCAGTTTGGAACTGTATTTAGATAAATCAGAGCAAATAATATATTTCTGGGAGCTCAAGAGTTTCTCTGACAGCATTTGTTCTCAGCCTCATGGCTGGTAAAAAAAAATAAACTAAAATGTTGCCAGAAGTTAATCTTTTAGTTCATTGACGTATCAAACAGCTGCGTAAAACCTTTAGCTGCACGTTGTTGGCTTACACATCCAAATCAAAGGAAAAATCAAATCGAATACTAAACTGAAACACTTGGAACCAACTGCAGTTTTTTTTCTGCTGCTTCACTGATGAAGAAGAAATGATGGAAAACCCCACACCTGTCCACAATTCAGCCTTTGAGTCGTCGGTTCAAAAACATTATTAAATAGCTGGATTTCTTATCCCTCTTCTCCATTTTGATGAGCCAAACACAAACGCTGCAATTAGCAGAGCTCCAGCTCCACCACCTGAGCTGCCGTCGCACGGCCTGGATTCTGGATGCCCCTGAGATCTGAGTGAAAACACAATTTTTATAAAACTGGAACTTCAAAAATAGGCTTGTTCAAATTCATTGTGTTGACTGTTATATTCTTTCATTAGGAGCTGAGTTTCTTGAGACTTTAGATCTTTTTGCAAATGAAGTTGATGATTTTTTTGGATAAATCAAGAATGCAGCCTGTGACTCGGACATTTTTTGAGATGATGTGTGTTATTGGTCTTAAAATTAAAAACTCAATAAGGACCTCCACAGGTTCAGAGTGATTATAATGTGTTGCCACTGGTTTTACATCAGAATTTCATTCTAAATGTGTCCGTTTCTGTCCTGTTTTGGATCTGGAGTAGTCCATGTTACCAATAAAAAATTGAGATTCCAAATATTTGACTTTTGTGTGCCCTCATACTGAATGGTATTTCTGCTTTAAGTCAAGAAATTTAAAAAAAATATGCCATTTGGAAAGAGGTAACATGAGTCTTATGACCTGTACTCATCCATGCAGTGTTATGTTGGAATAAAAACATGGAGGAAATGCACCAGGACTAATTAATTCTCTGCTGCTTTACAAGAAGTAGTTAATTAAATCTGCCAGCTGCAGTTGTTTTAACCTCTAAAACATGGCTTTAGCCCCCCTCTGTCTGAAGTCCACACATAAGACCAAGCGTATCAAAAATGGTTGTAGGTACATGTGCATAAATGTTACAAGCATAGGTGTAGGAACAGTTATTTGGAGGGGCTTTTAGAATATATTTAAGTTTGGGTTAAAACATAGTACAATTCTCCACACCCTTATAAAGAAGAGTAATAAATTATATATGTGGAGAAATGCACATTTGAAGTGCTGTGCCCTGTTAGAATATGGAAGTTCACAATTTGTTGTTTTATATATGAAAAGCAAATTGTGTATTAAAAACAGATTTGTGGTCATTGTCCTATTTCCAGTAGGTGTATAACTGTTGAATTTACTGTTACGCTCATAGCTGCCACAGTTTGTAAACTGGCTATCAAATTTAGTATTGTAATGGTGGACATTTTTCTCCACTTTGTTTTGCGTAATAATAATAATAATAATAATAATAATAATAATAATAATAATAATA